TGGGGGGGGGGGGGGGAAGTAGTTGGGTAGTTGTGTTGGGTCTTTATGGGTGAGGAAAAATCGAGGAAAAAATCGCGCGGGGAGCGGAGGGTTCGGGAGGGTGTTTTTCTCGGGTTTTTGAGTCGCGTGTTTGCTGCAGGAGATGTTGCTGTTTGATGGGCCGAGTTCGGAAATCCCGGAGTGCGTGGGTAATTAGACGGAGTAATGGGGATTTCAGATATCGATAAGCCGTTTTTTAAGGGTTTTTTCGATTTCTTGAGGCTGTTCGGGCGGTTTTAGAGCTTGGGGGGGGGGCAGACTAGGTTTAACCAGTTTCAGTCAGCAAATTTGGGAATTGAATTGCGTGAGGAAAATTTGAATTAGCAGGAATGTTATTGAAATTGTTTTACGCGGAATTATTCGTTTTTTATACATTTGTTGTTTATCAATAATTGGAATTGTTTAAACTTTCGGAAGTCTTCTTGAGTCTTTCTTGAGGATAAGATCGATTTCTGCAAACTTTCTAATTTTTTTCAGATTTTTACAATATTTTTTAACGGTTCGATATCGAGATTCAAGTTCAGAACTGCAAATTTTGAAAATAAAACGAGTTTTTAATGTCTGGAAACACATTCGTTGTTTATAAATAAATAATTGAAATTGTTTGAACTCACGGAAATATTATTTTTTTAAGTATGAAATCGATTTTGGTTAAATTCTGAATATGAATAAATTTTTTACGATTCCGAATAAATGATGTTCATATGAAAAATTGATTGTTTATAAATTATTTATGGAGAATGCTCGTAATTTTCATAAATTGCTATTTTAATTATTCTATCAATCTTCCTCCGAAAGTAAACTTTATAATTTTTTCGTCAGATTCTTAAAATGTTTTCTAACGGTTCAGTATTGAGATTCAAGTTCAGAACAGCAAATTTTAAAAATAAAATGAGTTTTTAATCCTGGAAACGCATTCGTTGTTTATAAATAAATAATTGACATTGTTTCAACTCTCCGAAATATTACTTTTTTAAGTATGAAATCGATTTTGGTTAAATTCTGAATATGAATAAATTTTTCATGATTCCGAACAAATGATTTTTACATGAAAAATTGATTGATTATAAATTATCTACAGAGAATGCTCGCAATTCTCATAAATTGCTATTTTAATTATTCTATCAATCTTCCTCCGAAAGTAAACTTTATAATTTTTTCGTCAGATTCTTAAAATGTTCTCTAACGGTTCAATATCGAGATTCAACTGAAATCTGATGTTCGACTACAAAAATAGAAAAACACTTCACCGGAGAAAAACTAGTCAAAGTACTTGGATATCCTCAAACTTAAAATTTCCCTTTTGAGCTTAATTCGGAGAATTTGTCGGATTTAGTAGTGTACTACTATTTTTATTCATTTATTTATCGTTGAAAATGGGCTAAATCGAATCTTTCAATTTTATGATTTTCAGTCGTAAAATAATTCCGCCACGAAAGGTCTGAGGATTTCAATTGAAAAAATCCCAAAAAGATCACGTTTTTTCCTCCTAGAGTTTCATTTTTAACACCTCAATCACAATTGATTCCCAAGCACCCATTCAAACGAAGATTTCCCATGCACATCCCCAGAGAAACCTAAACAACTCGTATTTATTTTCCCGAGAATTTAGTTGTACGCTGAAAACTTGAAAATGTACAATGAATAATTCATTTTTGTCAGAGGTTCTTATCCCTTGCCACGTTTATTCCTCCACATGAGCGCTCAATATGCGGGAGATGTTGCCTAAAAGCGTAGAAAATCCTCTCAGCAGCATTCGAGAGCACGGAGCAATATATTCACCTTAAAAAGTGCGTTCTTACGTTATTCCAGGAGATGGATTATGCCTTTTTTGTATGGCACGCCTGCATCTCCGGCGCTTCCGAGGAATAAATAAAACACGAGTGAGCTCTCTTTTCCCTCAGTCATGAATACCGTACGCCGGGGGGGGAAGTAAGCAGATTTATTTCGCTCAGTTCCTCGGAGCATTGAATGATCTTCCGATTATTCCCATTCACTTTTAATCAATGATAACGAGAATAATCGCTCGCGTTGGATAAAAAACCGTTCGTTTCGAGGGATCTCCAGTTCCGTGAAGAGTTTCGTTGATGTTGAAAAAGATTTCTTTGATATTGTTGTCCAATGGAATGACAATTTCAATCGCTCTCCCCCACCATGGGACCTCCTGTGGACCCATGCACTCGTTGATGGTGTCACGTTGGATTTAGTATTGAGAGAGACTTTGAGAGACCACCGTCAGTATTTTAATTCGACAGAACTTGCATACTCTTATATTCCCCCGTCAATGTTTCGTGTCGAAAATTCTTTTATCTAATCGTTGAAGAGAAGATTATTGATCTGTACGGTTTTTGAAATTATATAATTTGGCTTTTCTCGCGTAAAAATCGCGATATGTCCGGAACTACTGGGTTTATCGAGATATGTCATAAGATCTTTTTTGTGGAGAATTGAATTTCCAACAAAAAATCTCTTCTGACATTTATCGAAATAGCCAATCATTCCGGAGATATTTCGAATCTATTGTTCGTAAAAAAAACGACGAATTCTTTTTTTTTTTAGAATTTGATAGACAGCTGTATTTAAATTTTATAGAACTTCGTATTTACCCTTGCATAGATTCTTACAATCCCTCTATCAACGTTTCGTGTTAAAGTACCTTTTATTTCATTGTTGAAGATGGGGGGGATGAATCTGTGTTTTTTGAAATTATATAATTTGGTTTTTCTCCGGAAAAATCGCGATATCTCCGAAACTACTGGGTTTATCGAGATATGTCATGAAATCTTTTTTGTGGAGAATTGAATTTCCAACAAAAAATCTCTCCTGACATTTATCAAAATAGCCAGTCGTTCCGGAGATATTTCGAATCTGTTTTTCGTAACAAAAAAACGACCACTTTTTTTTTTTTTTTTTTTTTTTTT